GCCTCAAGTTGGCCCTAAGATGGCCCAAGAGAGCTCCAAGAAGGGCCCAAGAGGCCCCCAAGACTGCCCCAAGAGTGCCCAAGATCGCCCAAGAGGGCCCCAAGAGCGCCCCAAGAGGCTATTTCGATGGCCCCGGATGGGGGAGGGAAATCGAGGACCCCCCCTCCTTTGATCGATAATCTCCAAGATGGCCCCAGGAGGCGCTCCACAGCTCCCAAGAGGACCTCAAGACCCCCAAAAGAGTCTCAAGAGAGCCCCAAGATGCCCCCAAAGAGCTCTGGGCCCTGGGGATGGCCCGAAGAGGCCCTCCAAGGCCACCCCTTTGCTCCCCGAGGTCTCTCTTGTTCACCCGGGTTGCCCGCTTTGTTTCATTATATGTGTGTCTCTTCGTCCCGTTTCCCGACAGCTCTCACGGGCAGGGCTCCTGACTGGACTGGTGTGGATTTGCAAAGCGTAGACAATTATCCAGGCGAGGGACCAAACCATATGCAGTTGAGAATACAGTAGGGGCTGGACCGCAAGAAACCTTCAACAAGAAACCCAACCCTGAGACCCCAGGAGGTCCATTGATTTTTGGTGTGGGAACGTTGCGCCTTCCATAACAACACAATCGACACCCAAGAAACCCAGGGCACCCTGGAGGCAAACAGGGTGTTTCTTGGCATGGGTTTCCACTGTATCGCAGGGCAAGCGGGACGATCGAAAGGAAACTCATTAGGGGGCCACGAACCGCGTGAGACGGGCGAACCGCGCGAGGGGTGTGCCAGCATGGGGCGAATACCGCATGCGGGCTCCCGCATGCGATGATTACCGCTGTGATCTTCGGTGGAGCTCCGTATGGGACCACGCAACGTGTGAGGAGCGCGCCGAAATGGGCGGGGGAGGCGCGCGCGAGGACGGCCGCAGGGACCATCGGTGGAGTTCCCTATGGGGCCGCACAAAGCGTGAGGGGTGTGCCGACGTGGGTGGGTCGGACGCAGGCGGCGGCGCCCCTGGGACCTTCGGCGGGGCCCCCATTATGGGGCCACGATCCTCGCGATTGGTTTGCCAAGATGGGTGGCTCGGACGCATGCCGGCGGCGCCCCTGCTACCCTCGGTGGAGCTCCCTCTGGGGCCTCGATCCTCGTGAGGGGTGTGCCGCTTGAGGAGGAGGAGGAGGAGGAGGAGGAGGATGAGGAGGAGGAGGAGGAGGAGGAGGACAAGGAGGAGGAGGAGGACAAGGAGGAGGAGAAGGAGCAGGAGGAGGATGAGGAGGAAGAGGAGGTCGAGGCGGAGGCGGAGGCGGAGGAGGAGGACGAGGAGGAGGAGGACCAGTGTAAACCCAAGAGTCATCAACGATGTTGGAATGAACCCTCCCCCCAAGCTCTCTCCTCGTAGGCCCCTACAACGGTTCATTTCCATTGAGGGAACTGCCTCGTTGGAAGACAACAGTTTGAGGATCCTGAAGCGTGCCAAAACATTGTTCTCGGGATTTTATCGCCACACCCGACTGCTACGTCTTGACGATCCATAATCGTGTCAGAACGCCATTTTGGAACATCAGCACAGCGAATCAACACAGCTGTTGCGCCTGCATAATTCGGAATCCTTCCAACACAACGTTTCTGGCACGATGATCATGGGGATCCGTGAAATTCTAACAAATGTTTAAAACAAATGTGCGCGGAGCTAGAGCGAGAGCCACATGTTGAAAAGGAGCAGCCCTCAATCCGTGAAGCTCTTGCATTTGTTAAACGAATGTGCGCGGCTCTAAGGCGAGAACCACATGTTTAAAACGACCCGCCCTCAATCCGTGAAACTCTTGCAAATTATTAAAACGACTGTGCGCGGCGCTAAGGCGAGAACCACATGTTGAAAACCACCCGCCCTCAATCCGCGAAACTCTTGCAAATTATGAAAAAGACTGCGCGCGGCGCTAAGGCGAGAGCAACATGTTGAAAACCACCCGCCCTCAATCCGTGAAACTCTTGCACATTTATAAAACTACTATACGGGGCGCGAAAGCGAGAACCACATTTTGAAGCGACCCGCCTCAGATCAGTGAAGCTCTTGCACATGTTTTGAACGAATGTGCGCGGCGCTGAGGCAAGAACCACATGTTGAAAACGACACGCCCTCAATCCGTGAAGCTCTTGCAATTTGTTTAAAAGAATGTGCGCAGCGCCAAGGCGAGAGCCACATTTTGAAAACGACCCGCCCTCCACATGTGAAGCTGTTGACATTTTTTAAGCAGCAGAATCGTAAATTGTGAGGAAGTCTTCTGCGAAACGCCCTGCCCGCCCCAAAAAGTGGCCCCGGGGTGCGACAGGGAGGAGTTATCTATAAGGAGAAGGAATGAAGGAGGAGGAGGAGGAGGAGGAGGAGGAGGAGGAGGAGGAGGAAGAGGAGACGGAGGAGGAGGAGGAGGAGGAGGAGGAGGAGGAGGAAGACGAGGAGGAGAAGGAGACGGAGGAGGAGGAATAATAATAATAATAAGAAGAAGAAAAGGACGAAGAAAAAGAAGAAGAAGAAGAAGAAGAAGAAAAAGAAGAAGCGGAGGCCACAATTCCGCCCCCTCCTCC